TGAACGTTTCCAGTATCCGCAAAAGCATTGATCAAGACTCCATAAACAACAACATCAGGTTCTATGTTGAAGTCAACCATCTCTTTATACACTTCCTCTGCCATATTGAGCTGACCCAGTTTCACAAAGCTCGATATCACAGCACAGTAAGGTATGCAATCGCTAACATATCCCGTTTCTCTCATTTTTTCCAGGTAGCATCTGGCTTTATGAGGCATGTCAGAGCTCGCAAGGATCTGGACGAGAGTATTATATGTACACTTATCCGGTGCGACTCCATAACTCATCATGCTCTCAAATAATTCGCACGCCTTTTCACAGCTTTTACCGATTCCATATGCTTTGATCATCACATTGTACTCAATAACTGTTCTCTTATTCACTTCTTGGCAACAGATAAATACTTTCTCGGCTTCTGATAGATATCCACGCTCACCATATGCATCAATGTTGGCTGAATAACCTTCAGAACTCATATTACCCGCAAGATGAAACCTTTGGAACCATGCCCACGATTTCTCAAGCATTTCTGCTTCTATAAACATTCTAGTGAGAGCAGATTGCGTATACTCATCAATCTCAACATTATTATCATCCATCTCTGCTATAAGCTCTTCAGCTTCCGCAACCATATGTCTTATCGAGAATGCATAGAGAAGGGTGCGGTAACTTACAGGGTCTGGTTTAAGGCCAGCGTCTTTCATTTCCTTGAAGTAGGACGCTGCCCTTTCTATATCGTTGTTCTTTGTGTGAAGTGAAATAAGAATGTTATATGTTCTTGTATCAGGTACCCACTGTAGCTTCATCATTTTCATCAAGGAAGTCACTTCTCCAACATGACCATTGTTGCCATACATATGAATCATGGTATTAAAAGTCACTGTGGTTGGCACAATCCCTTCTTCTAGCATCCTCTTGAATGTCTCTGAAGCCTCTTTTATCTGGCCGGACTTACCATACGTATCAATCATCGTGTTGTACGTATAAGAGCTCAAGCAAACATGTGATTCCACCTTGTTGTCTTTCCCTCTCAACGTCCCAAAGGGTTTGCCACACGACCATTTCTTGAAAAAATCCTCTGCTTTTTGAAACTCTCTTGCCTTTTTATACATTTGAAGAACAATCCCCGTAGTAACTTCGTCAGGCTGCATCCCGATCTTGCTCATCTTCCCTAGCCAACAAAGGGCATGTACTTTAAGCCCGCCTTTACTATAAACATCAATGAGAGTCCCATACGTAGAATTAATCGGCTTGATATCTTTTCTAATCATTTCATCCCACAAACTCTGCACATACCTCCATTTACAAGCTTTTCCAAGAATCCGAAGCATGATATTATAGTGAATCACGTTCAATTCATAGTATTCCTTGCTCTTAAACCACTCGAAAATCTCCACCGCTCTCTCCCACCGTGTCTGCTCCTTCAAAATAATCGTTCTCTCCTTGCTGCTAAGCCTCTCCGCCCAAGGGCTCAACGCTTCTTCAACATCATCAATACGATCCAGAGCCTCCAAAATAGCAGGAATACATCCTCCGTAACTCAGACCTTTCGTCGAACACTTGGCGTGCATTTTCCCAACCATACCATTCCCACTAAACCCAACATCTCCAGCTCTCTTATCAACAAACCCATCACGAATCCTTGATTTTCCGACGCGATTATTATCACCTGGGTTTACAATAAGTAAGTTTTTCCCGGCAAAAACTTCATGAGCAACAGTACCAATACCTCGGTCGCAGTTTCTAGTGCTTCTCTGGGGTGGTCTCTTGTCACCGTCGTGGGTTCCCGGTACGTAACTCTGCTTCAATTTCTTGATGGGTGGGAATTTATCGAGAGGAAAAATCGGTAAGGTTTTTGTGGAACAGAGAACATGTAAGCAATTGCCATCTAAACGAAGATTCAACAACATTTTTCAGTTGCAACGAGCATTTCACGAGAGAAAGAAACAAAATTTGCACCGCGAATTGCGATGACTGTGTTTAATCTTCTGCGGCGAACGTAGAATTCCGACGAGATTTTTCTGGAAATGGATATAATTGCGCGCGCATTCGTCCTTTGTCCGATTGAAAATAGAGAGACGCTTGGGTTGAATTTTGTAATTTCATAATATTTCAAGCCCCTTAAGGAAAGAATGTCATACTGGATAAAACTCAAAATGTCACGTATTATTGGATAAAATATGGTTATGGGCCTCAACATTGGCCCAAATTCATTTAAAAACCCACGTGTTGCTTATCATCATCTTCTTCGTGTGCAACCCTAATTTTCCAGATCTACGAAAAAACTGAGGAAAAATGACGACAAGAATGTGCGATCTTTCACCGGACTTGGTACGGGAGATATTCGCTAGGGTTCCGATAACATCTCTGAAAGCAGTGCGATCCACTTGCAAACTATGGAATGATTTACGCAAACACTGGATTTTGGGTAA